AAATGAGTTGTAGGATTACTCAATTTGGTCAGCCACCAGCCCGGGCGTTACCACTTTGAGTACTCTTCTTGTTTTCTTCCTCTTTAAAGTCTATGATCGATTTTTGTTTGGGCAGAGTTGAAGATGGATCAAGCTGCCCCAGTCCTCAGACCATTTCCCGCTCTTACACGAATCTTATAATGCCTGGCGGAGGTCGGTATGACGTATGGAGCGGGACTCTTGACCGGAGCGCCTCGTGCCAGTGTTTTCTTGGCTTTAAGTTTAGCTCCTTTGCGAGCAGCGTGTTTCTGACAACTCGGAGACCCAATTTCGATGGTCCCTCTTGTGATGAGGGCTTCCCGTGGTGTGGCGTACACCTTGTGAAGACTTTCGCTTGCGGTTCAGCTTAAAGAGTCTTGACGCCTTGGGTGCTCTTGTAATCAAAGGCATGGGGTTTCCAAAACGGGGCCATCTTCTTACACCCTGAGGCTGGTATGTTTCTTACTATAGGGACTGTGAATTAAGGGCTCATCTTTTTCAATTGGAGACCCTCACATCTCTTGCCCGCGCAAGTGTTTGGTCTCTTAACCCACCTCTGTCTTCCGAAAGCTGAGGTCCAGCAATTGCAATAGTGAATCGTGAAATTTGTAGAAGCCTAAATACCAATCTTGTGGTCCCAGGCTCTGTATGCTTGGCTACCTCGAAGTATTATTCCAGGCCTTCTTTCTTAAGTTCGAGGGTCTGTGGTCTGAGGCCAGCACAGGATGTGTCGGGCTTGGGTCTGGTGAAACCGACTGCATAAGGAGGCAAAGCCCGACGTGTCAGTAACCGAAGCTGTAGCACTAGCTGCGCAGCCCTTGACCTCCCAGCATTGTTTCCGAAAGAACTAGCAGTCCTACCATTCTTCTTCTGTGGGCGTGAGCTCATCTGAGTTTGCATGATTCCCCTCCCGCATAGGGAAGTGCATGCTGAGACACATAGGGAAGTGCATGCTGAGACACACACAAAACCTGGGACTCCAGGTACTGCAGTCGATTTTCAGTGGCAAGCAGATAATGGATTCAGATCCCAAGAAAAACCAACTTTGAGAAGTCCTGCATTCCTGCGAGGAGGAGTCTATGGAGGGCTTCTTGGGATCCGACAAGGCTGAGTGGCGCGAGCTCGACAGATTCCCTTGACATCTCTTCTTGCTTGAGGGCTGAACCCCATAGTCCCTCTTAAGTAGATCGAGTATGGCTTTGGGTATCTTATAATAAGATCCTCGTTTACCCCATATTCTATCTACTTAAGGGGGACTATAGGATTCAGAACTCTTAGGCACCCTGAACCCTTTACCCTAATGTACCTCACGCTGCTGTCGAGCCAAGGAGGTGGCAGAGCCCTAAACCCTATAATTTCTGAATTAAACAGTGCTGGTATGTAATTTTTTGCTGGGTGCCTTTTGAGCAGGATATTACCCTGAGGGTCCATGTACCCAATCATTGGGTACTTGGGATTTGGGTAATAGTAATTTTAGTACAGATTCTGGGTAAGTATATGATCATTAAGCACTCGGACCCTTATGGTTATTCACTGATCATATGCGAAAACATCTTGGGTATCAGAGCTTCAGCCTTCGTTGCAGCTGGGTTATAGTCATGTTTCAAGCACAAAGTAGGACCTTGTGACGAGAGTGCCGACATATACCTCGGAACCCTTGTAATTGAACATTCTTACCCCAAAACCCTAAGCTGGTGCAGCTCGAGCCCGTGACCCTAACTGGGTCGCTGCTAAGGAGTTTTAACTGTATACAGTAGATGATAGGGTTTCTTTACTATAGTAATTTAATTTAAGTTCTTTAACGGCGACCCAGCGAAGCCATGGGCCGACGGTTTGGCTTCTGCACAGTCGAAGTCCACAATCATTGTACTGTTGCCATTTGTCTTATAATCGGAGACATTCTGTCAATTACTTCCGTTTCAGTTGTTGACGTACCGTACTCCCAGAAGTTGGGCCAGGAAAATACGCGTAAAACTTATGTGCCATTGTTCAGGTGTAAGTCTACCCGACCTTCTCATTTGGTCACATCAGTTGCCAGATACTCCCCCATCATCCCGATGCATTTCCCACAAATGCCTATAGGATTCCCATTGCTACCGCAGCCTGGAGAAACTCACCAGGGTCTTACACATTCTAGCGCAGCCTCAGTAATAAAGAACCGTGCGAGTTTCCACGAATAGGGATCCCCCTCACCTAGCGTAACATATTACATGCCTTTTCAGAGCCACCGCTAAAAAGGAGACCTCCATTTTTGGAAGCCGCAATGTAGGAACATGATTGGATGCTGTGCAAGATTTGGCTCAATTCCAGTGCCCCGGAAAGAACGAGTTAGGGCAGCTGCAAAATGCAGACTCCCGCTCCTTGCACTCATTGGATGTCTTGCTGGTTGCCGTAGGGAGTGAAGAAATGACTACACAGAACCTGGAAACCGCTAAGACCTCTGATGCAGATGCTTGTTGGTGGTCAGATGCTTCTATCACTTACTCTTTTGCGTCATCGGCATCATCATCGTCAGCAGCTGCAGCAGCATCAGTGATGATTTCCTACGCTATCAGCACTACCCACTACCCTCATTCGCATTCTCATGAGAAGGGGGAGCAGTTGTGCCTCCACGGTGCATGTGCATGGTTCCAAGCTCAACATAGGACATAGGACTCACAGATTCACAGATATGCGCTTCCGACAGGGGGGAACCGTATTTGGTCATGATGGGTGCTTCCCGGTCCGTGGCCACAGCCTTGCTAAAGATAACAAATTGTTTCCTCCACCCCGTCCTTGGGTTTTCGCTGGTGCATGAACTTGCAGTGTTGATCACATTCAGCAGCTGAAGCCCTAACCTTCCGACAGCTGTGTTGCTAGTTTCCACGCTGAGTGACCAACCAGTGCTGAAGCTTGCATTAGCGGAAATAGCACACTATTAAAAAGCAGTACTCACATGCAGGTTTATCAGAACAATCCCCCTAGACAATCTTTGTCAAAAGCTAGTATTGCTGACCTTCTGCATCACGAAGCGCTGAACCCAGAAGACTTTGCTTGGTCAAATATTGCCCGCAACCCATTTAAAAAGTCATAAAGAGGCCATCACTCTCCATATTTTGGGGTTCAGAACACCCCAAGATTCCGTCAACCTAGAAGCTTTGCATCCAAAGCCCAGGAGGTGACCACGCCGCAGGCGGCTACGCCGAAGGGCTCTCCCTTTTGCGACGCTTGGCGTCAGGATTTCAGGATTAAGTCGGTTTAGAGTTTAGGGTTGGGACTTCAGCATTTGGATCTAGAGCTTGCCCTCTATCAGTTCTGGCATGAAGGGTTGAGAAACGAGCCTCGGGACCAAAAGACCACTGTAAAACCGCCCTCACTTGAGCAACTGATTCTGATCCAGTTTTCTGCTGCAACCTCCCAGTTGCATTCTTTTCGGGTCATCATGGTGGGGGCTTAGATTGAGGCGAAGTGAGTCAGGCGTGGGCTCATTCTTAAAAGTTGTTGGCGGAGGCAGCGAATCCTGGATGCGGCCCAGGTCCCGTCTACCCATGGATATCAGATTGCGGTCTTGGGAGTCCAGACTACGCATGAGCCTTTTGTGATGAGTGGCCGTGTATTCTGCAAGAGCTAGCATTGCCATCTCTGTCATATCAAAAAAAGTATCTAGAGCTTAATGCAGTCAGTTTTGCAGGGAGTGCATATGGGAGGGCGTTTATGATTTGTCTCAGGCGTGCCTATACAAAGAATTGGAGGTTTGTGGTCCTGCTTGAGTGAAGAATGCAGGAAGATTGCGCACTACCTATGGGGACAAGAATTCGGGCTACATTAACCGCAGTTGTGATTATGCTTTTCAATGTGCAGGGCCCCCGTCTTTGCTGCCTCCCCCAACCCTTATTCCCAAATCCAAAGCCCGAAACGAGGCCACAAACAGCTAATGTTGAACCACGCATAATTGCAAGCACGGCCCAAACCCCTAAGCACCAAACGCACAGATCCCCTATCAGCAGCTTATCGCTGACCACTTCCTTGATCTAAGGATTCCCAGTGAGGGTTCCTCATATACCTATCAAATACCCACAAACACAAACAAACACAATTGAGGGATGATAAAAAAACC